ATGGGGATTTTATTATCTTATTTTAATCTTTTAAATTGCCTTTTTTATAAACTTAATTACATTTATGACAATAATCAGATATATTATAATTTTCTTTAGAAGTTTTAACGCATTGCCTGTCATATTATTTGAGAAAGAAAAAGTTTAAATATCGTTACCGTTACAGCCTATTAAAGTTTTCTGCTAAACATAGGCCTTTCCCACAGATTGCCTCATAGCGGGTATATAGTCGGTATGGCAACCACAGGTTATTTTTTATTTTTAGACGTTATTGGAAAGACGCTGCTGCCCATCTCCTTATTTAGTTTTGCGATGTTTATGATATAAAATTACATGCTAAAATAAGCAGAGGATTAAATTTAATCAACTATAACTTTTTAATAACCTCATGCCGTGTAGTGGCGGTCAAGAATATCCACTACCCCATATCCTCCCGTGGGTGTAGTAAAAAGCGACAAAGGGAAACAGGCAGGAGATGGGCAGCAGCATCATCTTGATAACAACAAACTAACAATTAAAAAAAACTGCGGTTGCCAACCCGCTCGCCAAGCGTGGCAACTATGGCAAATAGCCCCCTATGAATGACAGTAACAAAGAAATGGCCCACAGTCCCCGGCGGCCCCGCTATTACTGGCTACGGTGGCGACCATGGTAACGGCGGGGCAGGGGGTGCTAAGAATCTCCGGTGGAGTTCGGGTGCCACCTTAGACGACTCGACCTGGCAACGTACAACGCATGCACCCTGAGGACTGACGAGAAGATCGTGGAGCTGGAAGAAGAGATAGACAAGTTGCGCTGGCATATTATAGGATTATCCGAAGTCCGAAGAGAGGGGGAGGACACGGTAATCCTCGAATCCGGCAACTTGCTTTATCACCGGGAGGGCGACCATCTGCCCCAAAGAGGTGTCGGATTTATCGTCCACAAGTCTCTCGTTAACAACGTTGTAAAGATCGGGAGTGTGTCGACGAGGGTTGCGTACCTTATACTCAGAATCACCAAACGGTATTCGCTGAAGGTCATACAGGTTTACGCACCAACCTCGGCACACCCCGATGAGGAGGTGGAGGAAATGTATGAGGATATCTCTAGAGCCATGCATTCCTCCAAAACCCAATATACGGTGTTAATGGGAGACTTTAATGTAAAACTAGGCACAAGAGAGAACGGTGAGCTGAAAGTAGGGAAATTTGGAATAGGGTAACGGAACCCAAGGGGCCAGCAGCTGGCCGACTTCATGGAGAAAGAGGGACTCTTTTTGATGAACTCTTTCTTCCAGAAGCGGCCCCACAGGAAGTGGACCTGGTCGAGCCCCGACGGTTCGACAAAAAATGAGATTGACTTCATTATGACGACCAGACGACAACTGTTCAGTGATGTCTCCGTGATCGCGAGGGTGAAAACTGGTAGCGATCACCGAATGGTTAGAGGCACACTGAACCTAAACGTTAAGTTGGAGAGGTCTCGTCTAATAAAGTCATCGCTCCGTCCCCCTCGTGCTCTAATCCAAAGTCCCGAAACCTTTCAGCTCGAGTTACAAAACCGTTTTCAGTGGCATCTGGCATCTGAACAGACAGATCTCCAAATGCATGCGGCGGGACTTGCGCAACTTCAATACAGCTCGTATTGAAGAAGCGATCGAGCGGAACCAAGGCTCCAAAGTCTTTGACAGAGATCTGTCTTCCAGAAAGAGCCAACTGTCAAAGCTGAAGACAGAGTGTGGCAGCATCGTTTCAGGGACACCTGAGATTTTGAGTGAGATTGAGAGGTTCTATGGGTACACGTCATCGTTGGAGCCACACGCAAGTGTGAGTAACGATCCAAGAGCGAGTCTCATCCGACACTATTCCGAAGATATCCCGGACGTCAGTCTGAGCGAGATTAGAATGGCTCTTCAGCACCTTAAAAACGGTAAGACCCCAGGCGAGGATGAAATTACAGCGGAGCTTCTGAAAGCCTTCCATCCTCCATGGTGGCATTACACCGGAGGCGTGGAGCAGAAGTGCGGTGGTCTTGTTCTTCAAGAAAGGTGACAACGCTCTCTTGAAAAACTACAGACCCTTCTGAGCCGCGCCTACGTGCTGTTTTCGAGAGTCATTACGAATCGTCTCGCGCGCAGACTTGACGATTTCGAGCCTCCCGAACAAGCCGGTTTCCGAAACCTTAAAACCTTACCCTTCTGCAAATTGTACAGAAGTCCGAAGAGTACAATTTGCTACTATGTCTGGCGTATGTGGACTATGAGAAAGCCTTTGATTCCGTCGAAATTTGGGCGGTGCTGCAGTCCCTTCAGCGGTGCCAAGTTGACTGTCGGTATATCGAAGTGTTGAAGTGCTTGTACAGTAGGGCTACGATGGCTATCCGAGTACAGAACCAGAGTACGAAACCTATCCAATTGCAGAGAGGTGTAAGACAGGGTGACGTCATATCCCCGAAACTCTTTACCGCTGCATTGGAAGATGTTTTCAAGCTTCTGGACTGGAAATGATACGGTATCAACAACAATGGCGAGTACATCACTCACCTTCGATTTGCCGACGATATAGTCCTTATGGCAGAATCGCTGGAGGACCTAAGCACTATGCTCAATGACCTCAATAGTGTTTCCCAACGGATAGGTCTTAAGATGAACATGGACAAAACTATGATCATGTTTAATGTCCATGTCACACCTATGCCCGTAGTTGTTGGGAACACTAAGCTCGAAGTTGTTGACGAGTATGTTTACCTGGGCCAAATAGTCCGACTAGGTAAGTCCAACTTCGTCCGAGAGGTCAATCGACTGATTCAACTCGGTTGGGCAGCGTTCGGGAAATTACGGCACATCTTCTCGTCAGGTATACCTCAAACCTTGAAAACGAGACTGTACACCCAGTGCGTGTTGCCAGTGATGACATACGGAACTGAGACGTGGTCCTTCACTGCTGGCCGGATGAGGAAGCTCAAGGTCGCTCAGCAAGCTATGGAGAGGGCTATGCTCGGAGTTTCTCTGCGTGATAAACTTAGGAATGAGGATATCCGCAGTAGAACCAGAGTAACCGACATAGCCCAACGGATTAGTAAGCTGAAGTGGCAATGGGCCGGCCATATAGCTCGAAGAACCGACAACCGTTGGGGAAGAAAGGTTCTCGAGTGGCAGCCTCGTACCGGTAGGCGAAGTGTAGGGCGTCCCCCCACGAGATGGAGTGACGACCTGGTAAGACATGCAAGAAGTCGATGGATGCAGGTGGCTCAGGACCGTGCTTTGTGGCATTCTTTGGGGGAGGCCTATGTTCAGCAGTGGACTTGTGAAGGGCTGTAATAATGATGATGATTAATAACCTCAAAATTGTTGAACCAGACATGAATTGAATTGTTGAATACTCATAATTAACGCAAATATTAAAATGATTATACCTCAGATACGTTTTAATTGAAAACTACGAGAAATATCGCATTAATCAAAGAAAAGCGGCTTAAAATTAAACACGAAAATGTTAATTTTAATAGAGAAAGTTAGGATGAATGTGGAAATACTACGAAAATTTGTAATAAAGCTTACCAAAGCTGGTAATTTCTTTTGAAACGTGCTTAAATTATCATTGACGGTTTCACACTAAAATCAATAAAATAAAATTACAATTTTTATACATTAACAAGAAATAAAGCCTATAATGGTCAGGAATTTAAAATATAATATATATATTTTAAATTCCTGATCATTACTTTTAATTTAATAGTTTTATAAGACGTATTCTTTATAAATAAATGACAAGCACCTGTATAAACTTATATAATAATATTATCTGCTCTAAAACATGTGTTTTTCAAAAATATACATAATTGTAACCGACATAGCGGTCCTTCACTGCTAGCCGTATGAGGAAGCTCAAGTTCGCTCTGCGCGCTATGGAGAAGGCTATGCTCGGGGTTTCTCTGCGTAAACCCAACGGATTAGTAAGCAGAAGTGGCAATGGGCCGGCCATATAGCTCGAAAAACCGACATTGAACTGGCAGTCGAAGTGTGGGGCGTCCCCCCACTAGATGGAGTGAAAACCTGCTAAAACATGCACTAAGTCAATGGAGGCAGGTTGCTCAGGACTGTGATTTGTGGCATACTTTGGTGGAGGACCATGTTCAGCAGTGGACTTATGAAGGGCTGTAATGAATGAAACCGATTCAGCACAACGAAACAGTATGCTGTTATGCTACCGGACCCGCTATATTATGACTGACGTAAGGTGTATGCGTGTTTATGTGTGTGTTTGCATACACATATAACATGTATTTTTTCTATATCTTTTTTTGTTAATATTTTTTTTTCTTGAACTGTTGTGGCATGTGTGTAGACCTAAGTGTTGGAATAAATATCTTTATATTCTTAAGTGACTAGCTCGTAGCTCAAGTGCAGTGTAGACTACACAGAAAAAAATAAAACCTATCGTAACATGATATTGACCTCAATCAGCTTAATGAGCACTTTTTATCTGCGTCTTGAAATGACTATGAAGCAATGCAAAATGCTCTGAATTTCTTATCTGTAATATTCCTATTCCTGAATTTTTTGCGTTTAATTTGTCTCAGTTGGACAGAGCCGTTATTGTTGAGAGAGCCATTCTCTCTATCCATTTAAATTCAGTAGGTGGTAACTATAATAGTCGTAAATGGTAATTCCTCTCCTGAATCTCCCTACCCTTGTAATAACTGCCCTTACATAGTTTAACGATTCGAAAAAAAGTGATTCATTGCATGACTTAAGCGCAAAGCGCGTAGGTATGTTCTATTAGCGCCTAAAAATCAAGATTCTAACGTTTTATCGCATGAAATCGTATCTAAATATCATATTGAACATATAAATGACATATAAAGCACATTTTCGGAAAGATAATTAATTATTGAACTTATTCATATTTTTTTAAATCGATTAATTGCTGTTTTGTCGAACAACAAAAATTTGGTCAAATAATTACTATGAAAAATCTACGCCGAAAATAGAAGTACCTGAATTCTCAGGCAGCAACATGCAATGGATTTCTTTCAAAGATCTTTTCTTGGAGGCAATTCATAATAATCCTACGATCAACAAGGCACAAAAGATGCAACATCTGAAAACAACGTTAAGAGGAGAAGCTGAGCGACTAGTACAACATCTCAGCATCGGCGCTATGACTCATGCTGGGAGATACTCACCCAGCGCTACGACGATCGGCGTCTTCAGCTTACATCTTTCGTCAACACCATGCTCAACTTGCCTGTAATACAACACTCAGACAACTACAACTTAACAAAAGATGCATGACGCCATAACTGAATGCCTGAACGGGCTCGCCAACATCGGTATTGAAACATCCACTTGGGACCCACTCATCGTCCATTTGATGTCGCAAAAATTAGATACCTCAACGTACGCGGACTACATGAGAGAACAACAAGACCACAGAGAGCTACCGAACTTTAACGACTTTCTCTTCTTTCTTGAGAGCAAGTTTATGGCATACGAAAACATGAAAAATTTAAAGAAAGAAATACCTAACGTACAAAAACAAGGCCAACAAAACACAAGTAACTACAAGAACTTTTCCACTAAAAAACATTTCTACGAAACTAAAAAACCTTACAATAAAACTTATTTTACTTTACAACTATTGGGCAATGTCCTAACTGCAAAGGAGGTCACGTGTTGATGCAATGCCCCGAGTTCATCGACATGAATGCTATACAACGCAATAATACAGTTGCGAAATTACATGTATGCAAACACTGCCTGTATAGCCACGGAAATGCTAAGTGCACATCAACTAAACCTTGCAAAGAGTGCAATAAGAGACAGACACCACACTCTGTAGCACAACAATACAAAAAAAATGCGCCTACAACTTGTGACGCCTCATAAATATTATTAATAAATAATAATTAAATTCATTATAAAGACATTTAAAAATGTCATAGAAATTATATTTTGAACAATTAAAATCCAAATAATAAGCATAAAGTTCAAATATATTCATTTGTAATATTGAATATTATAGTATTAATAAACGCATAAATTGTCTTTAAAAATCTCTAAATTTATTAAAATTCTGCTTAAAATATTCAAAATGTATTAAATCATATAAATACAAGTCGACTATATTGCAATAATAACGAAAAATAACATTTGTAATATAATAGAAAAAATGGTTCATAATTTTCTAAGTTGATGAAGGTATTCTTTGTTTTTATAGGTTAGGGTGACAAACGAGCACACAGTCCACCTGATGGTAAGTGGCATAGACACCTACATTTATCTTCAACAAAGAATCAAAATGTAGATGCATCGTCACCCGTGAGGACTAAGATGGAATGCCTCTTTTCCAGTAAAATGGGTCTCCGGTTCTCTACACTCACCATACAAAACACAGCAGTGTCAAGCTGCTATTTTACGCTGGTATTCTGTGAGAGCGTGGTCCTTCCCCGGTCGAGCCGACCTATTCGCGCTACAACTATACTACTAATAAAGCTGCAGCATGGCTCTACCACGTATGAGTTCTTGTAATAGTCGGAAAATTTCTAATTTGATGAACGTGTTCTTGTAATGTTCCTTTATATGGGGACGTTGCCGGAGACGCATACCCAAGGTTGTACATTAATATGGGGTGGTCTGCTGATCGACTGCTAGTACTAAGGTTACACAATGACTAGTCCTATATTAGGGACTTATCATAGTAAGGTCTAAGGAACCAAAGCATTAATATAGAAGGTCTCCATGTTGCATAAATATTATGATAGCAGAGTTATGACTTGAAGTCCTATGACGGGGGTTATCCTGTAAGCGTTCACAGAATGAAGACTTCCCGGAGCGTCAATTCTTCACATCAGCTATGTGTTCTTTAACGCGGGTTTTTGTTGATCTTTTAGTTTGTCCTGTATAATAGACTACATTCACAATCAAGCTTGTACAGTCCTGCATTTTGCAGAGGGACATTACACTTGACTGATGGTTAAAACTGACTAATCTTCTTCGGCAGATTGAAGTATGTTTTAATAGAAGCACGCTTCAAGATGTTACAATCTTGTCAGCGACACCTCTAACATATGGCAGTACAGCAGGCCCTCGCTCGACACTGTATATTCTACGGGCATGTGGTTTACCTCCAGTTAGTTCATTTGTATAGATAATTAAATAAAATTGAAGTGTCTGTTTGTAATGTCAAGTAACAGCTTTTTACTAAATGCATATGAAAGTATATACTGTACTTGTAACAAAAACAATTTTTAAATTTTTTGTCTTTCTGTCAGTCTGTTTGTTCCAGGTAATCTTCGGAACAGCTGGACCGATTTCGACGGGACTTTCACTTGCAGATAGCTGATATTATAAGCAGTAACTTAGGTTACTTATATTCTAGAAAGAGAATTAGGGTTGTGCGCAACATAATAAAAACCCTAAATTGTACGCGGATGAAGTCGCTTGGAACAGCTAGTATTTTAAAAATGTTATTGCGTTTTTTATGTCTGTGTATGCTAAATACGAGAATAGTCTTACTGTTAATAACCGTTTTTCATCTAATTTACCATATTTAATGCAAATAAATGATTTGATTTAATTTTATTTTTGAATGGATTCGATATATTTATCTTGAGATTAATACGATAGCTCTACGTTACTAAGCTGCCAGCAAATCTGCCTGATGAGTTATTGTTTCAAGGTTTTACTTCAAACTGGTGCCAATATTTGTATTTGTACAAAAATAGTTATAAAATTTAGAATTTTTAGCCAAGCTCAATATATGAGCGTAGTTTGTTGGATGCATAAAATGAAAGAATAGTTTTCTAGTGCCAACGGCAATGCGGTGGCGCCGCATAATCAAATGCTATTTTTTGTTTTTATTAATTTGTGTTCATTGGAGATATGTTTTTCAGAATTTGTGTTATGTTCTAGGTTTGAAAGATTTCAGGTATTCTTTTTTTCCCTCGTTATAGAAACGGATAAAAGATAATGTGTCCCATACTAATAAAGATTGAGCTTAATGTCGTCTTGATAGATGATGCCTCTTTCTTATAGGGGAATGCGATTGACGATTCACGAAGATATAACTAATCGAATAAAACGATTAGTAGTCGTTATGTTTGTGATAGCTGGGTGATTGAATTTGAAACCGATACTTAATATATAGATATACTGTAGATTTTTCAAGAATTATTAAGGAGGTCTTATAATATTTTTTTATATATACGCGAATACTACACATTAATTAAAACTAATATTACGGATTTCATCGCGTTGATATTTAGGCGATTTTCTTCGACTGAATGCATGGAGCATTCAGTAAATTATATTATATTAGCAATACATGAAAAATCTACCAACTCCGACTAGACAAAAACGTGGTGGGTATTTTCTATTTATCGATGTATTGCAAGTTTTATATTGACTATTAAATCTAAAGAAAGAAAGAGAAGTTAACATAATCTTGTAACTCCTATCGACAAAAAAAGATAACAAAAAACGAATATGTAATATGAATAGAAACCTTTAATCAAAAACCCGTGTGTTCTGTTGTATTTGCCAAAATTCAGGCTAAATGTGGTTGTACAACTGAGAGGAAAAGTGTGTCGGCAAAGTGCTAGCAGAAATTGAAATACGAGGCTTATCTTCTGACAGTTAGTTGAAGATAAATGATCTAAGTTGGTAGAAAAAATGTTTCTTGGAACCTTTATTGTTTCATGGTTTTTGCTCGATATTATTTATTTGTACTATACATAATTTATGTCATTCTGATCTTTTGTCACGGTTACGTAATTTTTATACAAAACACTGTTGTTATTAAAATTATGATGTTTGCTAAAAATACTAAATATCACTAAATTCCAAACTTTTTCTGTATACTCATTAATTTGATTTTTTATGCTAAAATTTTTTCTTATTTACCTCGCAGCAAGCTCAGTTAGCAGAAGTTTGCCGGTCGTAATACTAATTGTCTCGCACCTATTACTTGAACTTTTTGGACTGGAAATGATAAATATAAGATAAGAGAAAAAGATGAAACATTAAAGGGATGTTATAATTAAAGTCTTAGCCGCGTCTGTTTGTATATACATATGTTCGCTCTAATCTCAGAAACTACTATATGGATTTTCATTCGAATTTCACCAGTAGAGAGTCTTGTTTAACTTGGAGTAATTACATACATATGTAAGCAGGTTCAGAAAAGTTTAAGTATATAATTTATGACATATTCATTATTGAAAATTAGCTAATGTTGAGATGATATTTGTCGATTAAATAAGACAAAATCGCCTCTTCGCTTCGTTAACCGACGAAAATAAATGAATGATGAATGATGTTGTACTAAAACAAATGTATGGTGTAATCATTCTTCTCAAAGAGTTATAAAGTTCATTTCGCAACACCGTAAGTCTACCTATTAAGATTAACGCATTTATTCATTCATTACAGCCGATAACGACTGAGTATAGGCCTCTCCATAGAACGCCTTAAGCCTCTTAAGGGGGGCGTTTCCCATAGTTGCCACGCTTGGCGCGCAGGTTAGCAATCGCGGTTTTTTCTAGTTGTTTTTAGGAAGACGCTGTTGCCCATCTCGTGGTCTGTTTCTTTCTATCACCTCTTACGACACCCACGGGACGATATGGGGTAATGGATATTCTTACACCGTCAATACACGGATATAATTAACTCGCAATAAAAAGAAAACTTTAAAAATACAAGTAGCAAAATTTCACTTTATGTAACTCTGTGTCAAAGTATAAATCTTACTTAAATAAACTATAATCATTGTTTTTTGCATTTTATTTTAACAGTCTTTATTACAAATTCATGACAAGTAGTTTAGTGTTAACAATTTATTTTCGTATGCACAAATGACCCTGCGCGTTCTCCACCGAGATACTATACTCAATCTCAATACATATACGTGGAGTTATAGCCAAGGGTGCAAGATGACATTATCAGCAAAATTGGGGACGACAGGTCGTCGAATCGGGGATAATTATTGTTAACCGTGGGAAGCTAGGGCGGGTTGCTAGTAAGGTGTAACTGTACGCTTCAATTTAAATTTTCCCTAAAAGACGTAGTGTTTTCGTCATATTATCGAATTAAATGTTTAATATTTTTGTTTAACTGTGTGTTAAATGTGTTATTAAATTTAATGTTTTGCAATTATACACTCTTTAAACAGTAGATTTTGGGTCGATTTTCCCAATGTCACATAAAAGTAATTCGTAGAAAAAATACAATATAAGCAAATTAAATATTACATTC